TGATCATAATACACAAATATACATATACACAAATATACATATACTCAAATATAAATAACCAACACCCCAAATATACACATACACATATAACATATACACATACAAACATACATATACATACATATACATACATACATATACAATACGCACTATATATACACACATATATATATATATACACATATATATACACACACACATACACACACAATACAACACACATACATCACACACATACACACATATACATACACACATATACATACACACATATACATACACATATATACATACACATATATACATACACATATATACATACACATATATACATCAACATATAATATATATATATACACACACATATATTCACTGATATATATATACACACTCACATATACACACGCACATATACACACTCACACATATATATATGTGTGTATATATATATATATATATATATATATATATATATATATATATATATATATATATATATATATATATATATATATATATATATATATATATATATATATATATTATATATATATATATATATATATATATATATACTAGGCATACTGCCTAGCTTCGCTTAGGTTTTTAAAAAGCATTTGAGAATTTGAATACTTAATTATTTAGCGATGAATTGGGTGTGGAGTGCTTTAATTTAAACAGTAATGCTAACTTTAGAAAAAATGTTTTTATTTGTCATTTAAATTCCGTACTCAGAAATATATTGGAAAGTACGCAATGTATAACTAAAATGGAATTAGAACTACACAGGTTCCATAGTTTATATTACATTGCCCTTTTAAATTTATTTATTTATTTAATTAGGATACGTAACTAAATTAACAACTTCATTTTGTACTAAAACAAATGCTATACTTCGTCATTTTCTGTTTCTGTTTAAAATAGTATACAATTATTTGAAAAATAATAATTTTATAAACGATACCTCCCTTGAAAACTGAACGTATGGCGTATGTCTTCGTTTACCTTTTTTTTTTTACAAACAGTTGCTATGCTTATATAAGAAATTACGGTATATGAACATATTTAACGACTATAATGGCTGTTTCCGAGGGGAATACATTTTTTTGTTACCCTCCAGGGTTGGTCTACGACGTCATATAATATTAAGGGGATTGTTCGTCAATTTATTTATATATATCTCATATAAGGAGAACTTCACTCACGATCATCTTTTAGCCCTCGTCGAGGGCTTTGAGTCTGACCAACAGTTTTTCCATACGGCATAGTCATCTATAGTAGTGTATGCAAAAACTTAGCAGTTAAGTAACCTAAAAATTGTGTTAAAATTTCCCTGTTTTTGCCATAAAATACAAAGATTATATAGGGAAATACGACTGGTCAGTTTTGACCCGTTTCCCGATTTTTCCAGGACATGGCGAGTTTTTTGTGACACCCCAAGGCGTTCTTCTACCACCTCACAAAATTTCAAGGGGGGTCGTCGGAGGAAATTTTTTTTCGTAATAGAGCTCATATAAAGAGAATTTCACTCGCGGTCACTTTTTAGCCCTCGTCGAGGGCTTTGAGTAAAACCGACAGTTTTCCCTAAAGGTCAAGCCATTCACCTAAGAATATGCAAAAAATTAGCCAGATATACTGAGTTTAAGTACCCTAAAATCCGCGTTGAAATGACCCTCTGTTTTTCCCATAAAATACAAAGATTATATAGGGAAATACGACTGGTCAGTTTTGACCCATTTACCGATTTTTCCCGGACATGGCGAGTTTTTTGTGACACCCCAAGGCGTTCTTCTACCACCTCACAAAATATCAAGGGAGGTCGTTCGGCAAGAAATTTTTTTCGTTATATAGCTCAAATAAGGAGATTTTCACTCGCGTTTATGTTTTAGCCCTCGTCAAGGGCTTTGAGTCAAACCGACAGTTTTCCCTAAAGGTCAAGCCATTTACCTAGGAGCATGCAAAACATAAATTACTTAATCTAATATAACAATGAACACTAACAAGTTAATTTAACACACTCACCTACTGGAGAAGCTGACTAGGTCTTCAAGATTAGGTTCAATTAATTCTGCTTGTAGGAGATTATCGTCAGTTGATACTTGATGCGCTGACTGTGAGTGAAGGTCTGCATGACGAAGGGACTTTGCTAAATTAAATAAAAAATTGTTATAGAATTAAATTAAGTGGTGCTAAAGTATCTATATCTATATATATAATTCTCCTCTTCGAGCCGTTAGAAAACAAGCTGCAAACGCTCTCCCTACCTCCCCACCCCTACATGGTTTTAGTGAGCTGTGTTCACTCTAAATGTTTACAAGCAGAGCCAACGATTTTAAACGTAGGGGGGGGGGGGGGGGGGGGGGAAAGGAAGGGGGGGGGGGGGTGGGTTATGGTCCTTAACGAGCTACTTATAGTGTTTTAAAGAAATATTTTCAGTGTCAGCGTTGGTACTGTCGAATTCACAAATTATGAATTATTGAAAATTAGAAACAACTAAATAGCGGCGTATGTATATATATAATTCTCTTCTTGGAGACGCTAGAAAACAAGCTGTAAGCGCACTCCCTAACACCCCACTCCTGCATGGTCTTGTGAGCTGTGGTTAACGTTAAAGTTTACAATCGTAGAGGCAGGTTTAGTGACAGCTATTAGGGGCAAATAATTTAGTTTGAAAAGATTTTAAACTTAGGGGAGGTAACTAAGAGGAGGCTGCTTTCACGGGGGGGGGGGGGGGGGGGGGTGTAGGGTAGGGTTTGGGGGAAAGGAGGGTGGGGGTAGTATCGTCCTTAACGACCTACTGATAGTGTTTTAAAGCAAATATATTCAGTGGCAGCATTGGTACTGTCGAATTCACAAATTATGAATTACTGAAAAGTAGAAAATAAAACAACTAAATAGCGGCGTATGATATGCCGCGGGTTGGCTCGTTACCTTTATATTTAAGAATGGATGAAATAATTAAATGTATTGGTCTGTGATAAAATGTATTAGTTGTGAATCGTAGCCCCCTATGTAAAATTGTGTTTGCTGTTTATCTTAAGGTTTGGGACATAGGGTTAGCAATTAGTTACTTGCTGCATCAACAGGACATTCCATTGAAACAATGTTATGGAATGTAATACAAGTAAGGAACTTACATGTAACTTTGGCACATGTTGCCCAGCTGCTCAAGCGTGTGAGAAGATCAAACTCGGCTGGTGAAAGCCCAATATTGAGCATAAAATCCTTGCCAACATAAGTGCTCCAGCTGCACTGGTGATGGCAACACAGAGCTATCATAATTCCTTTAGGCAACCTGTTCCATGGGTAGATATTGGTGACTTAATGAGTAAAGAGCTTGGTTCTAGAGAAAAAAAAAATTATGCTGCTTAATCTTCTATCTATCTATCTGTCTGTCTGTCAGTCAATCGATCGATCGATCCATCCATCTATCTATATATATATAAGTCTGTCTGTCTTTTATGCATTACTACACCTCTCATCACATCGCCGTGAAACTTTGGGAAGTTGTTGAGAATATTTCTGGGGAGGTTTCTGTGAAAAAAAAATATTTCAAATTCGCAGGGGTGGCGCCCCGACAGGGCGCGATTTGTTTTTTTCTATATACGGTATATAAAAATATAAGTCGATTTTGGTTTGGCATCGTTCATTCGATAGCCATGAGACTTTGGGGAGTTCATTATACCACTCTAGGGAAGGGTTCTGTAAAAAAATAATTTTTAATTTCGCAAGGGCGGCACCACGGGAGGGTCGATTTTTCTCTATATACGGTATATAAAAATAATAAAAGTGAATTGCAGTGACACCATTCATCCGATAGGCATGAAACTTTGGGGAGTTCATTATAAAACTCCAGGGAAGGGTTCTGTAAAAAATCATTTTTAATTTCGCAAGGGCGGCGCCATGGGAGGGTGCGATTTTTCTCTATATACGGTATATAAAAATAAAAGTCGATTTTGGTGTGTCACCTTTATCCGATAGCCATGAGACTTTGGGGGAGTTGATTAGAACAATTCAGGGAAGGGTTCTGTAAAAAAAAAAAATCCTTTTTTAATTTTACAAGGGCGGCGTCACGGGAGTGTGTGATTTTTCTCTATATACGGTATATAAAAAATAAAAGTCGAATGTCATTTGACAACTTTCATCCGAGTGCTATAAAACTTTAAGGAGATGATGATAAAACTTGTGTGCTGTATGAAAATAGTGAGGTAGACAGCCGTCACGAGCACCCATGTGTCAATGTTACCACCCAGACTTGTGTGCTGTATGAAAATAATGAGGTAGACAGCCTTCACGAGCACCCATGTGTCAATGTTACCACCCAGACTTGTGTGCTGTATGAAACTAGTGAGGTAGACAGCCGTCACGAGCACCCATGTGTCAGTGGTCTGGGGAGCCACCGGTTACACTACGGCATGGGCGAGTACGGTCCCTGGTTTGGCCATTGAATGGCATGTACCACCATGTCCCTGTCGTATTGTGCTGTTTAAAACAAACGCAGGGAACCCCGTGCGCCAAATTGCACCCTACTGAGGTGCCGCCCCTTCAAAAAAAATTTCCTGCAGAAACCTTCCAAGAAGTATTTTTAATAGCTTCCCAAATGCTGAGTAACGCATAAAAGACAAACACACACTTTTCTTTTTTATAGGCATAGATAGATTACCAATAGCTATTTTTAGAAATGTAACTTTTCTGATGAAACTCTAGTTACACTTAAGGTATTACTAATCATTAATTTTACAAATGTAGGCCCATAAGACAAAATGGAAACAACCAAGTTAATATTTGCAAAATAATCTAAGCCTGGTTAGTTATTTTTATTCTGTGGCCCTTGATGGCCTTTTGTGAGCCCATTTGGACCAAAATTAATTTGTTTTCCTCCAAAAACCTTTCAAGGAGCATTCTCAACATTTCCCAAAGTTTAACGGTGAAGGGATGAAATGAATAGTAATGCATTAAGGCACTACCCCAGACCCACACTTTTATATGTATACCAACTGCGAATTCTATTCAATTTGTTACTTTTAATTGTGCTAGTGGTTCTAGAGACTAATAGTTAATTCGACAAACAAACATTTTCTGTATGTGACCCTTACATACATTGTTCAACTAATAGTTAATTCGACAAACAGACATTTTCTGTATGTGACCCTTACATACATTGTTCAACTAATAGTTAATTCGACAAACAGACATTTTCTGTATGTGACCCTTACATACATTGTTCAACTAATAGTTAATTCGACAAACAGACATTTTCTGTATGTGACCCTTACATACATTGTTCAACTAATAGTTAATTCGACAAACAAACATTTTCTGTATGTGACCCTTACATACATTGTTCAACTAATAGTTAATTCGACAAACAAACATTTTCTGTATGTGACCCTTACATACATTGTTCAACTAATAGTTAATTCGACAAACAGACATTTTCTGTATGTGACCCTTACATACATTGTTCAAGCCCCCACTGGATCACATAAGTTATTGACACAAAAATCATAGAACTGATAAGAGCTATGGTTATTTTGTATTTTGATAAAGTCAAATCTTCTGTATGTATTTATTATTATTATTTTTTTGCTTACATTTTTTAAAAAGATGTATTTTTATCAGATTGGGAATCCCCGAACTCTTCTGATTAAACATACATGTTTTAGGCATACATGTTTTAGACATACATGTTTTAGGCATACATGTTTTAGGCATACATGTTTTAGGCATACATATTTTAGGCATACATGTTTTAGGCATGCATAGAACTAAAATTCAAGAATCATTGTTCCCCTACATTTTATATAATTATCTTGTATGTTATTTTATCAGAAAATTTTTTGAGATTTTTTAAAATGAGCAGTATTTGTGGTTGTTTTTTTTTTACTTTCCTTTTTAACTTAATGAAAAAGTGGGAAAAGGCAAATTCATTGCAACCAATTTCAATAACATGCTTGTTTTTGATGTTAGAAAAAAAGAATTTAGGTGTTTTCTAGGTATGTAACCCTTCTCTGGGACCTTTGGTTGGTTAGTCACTAGCCCTTCTCTGGGACCTTTGGGTGAAGTTAGTCACTAGCCCTTCTCTGGGACCTTTGGTTGAAGTTAGTCACTAGCCCTTCTCTGGGACCTTTGGTTGAAGTTAGTCACTAGCCCTTCTCTGGGACCTTTGGTTGAAGTTAGTCACTAGCCCTTCTCTGGGACCTTTGGGTGAAGTTAGTCACTAGCCCTTCTCTGGGACCTTTGGTTGAAGTTAGTCACTAGCCCTTCTCTGGGACCTTTGGGTGAAGTTAGTCACTAGCCCTTCTCTGGGACCTTTGGTTGAAGTTAGTCACTAGCCCTTCTCTGGGACCTTTGGTTGAAGTTAGTCACTAGCCCTTCTCTGGGACCTTTGGTTGAAGTTAGTCACTAGCCCTTCTCTGGGACCTTTGGGTGAAGTTAGCCACTAGCCCTTCTCTGGGACCTTTGGGTGAAGTTAGTCACTAGCCCTTCTCTGGGACCTTTGGTTGAAGTTAGTCACTAGCCCTTCTCTGGGACCTTTGGTTGAAGTTAGTCACTAGCCCTTCTCTGGGACCTTTGGTTGAAGTTAGTCACTAGCCCTTCTCTGGGACCTTTGGGTGAAGTTAGTCACTAGCCCTTCTCTGGGACCTTTGGGTGAAGTTAGTCACTAGCCCTTCTCTGGGACCTTTGGGTAAAGTTAGTCACTAGCCCTTCTCTGGGACCTTTGGGTGAAGTTAGTCACTAGCCCTTCTCTGGGACCTTTGGGTGAAGTTAGTCACTAGACCTCCTCTACGACCTTTGGGTGAAGTTAGTCACTAGCCCTTCTCTGGGACCTTTGGCTGGTTAGTCACTAGCCCTTCTCTGGGACCTTTGGCTGAAGTTAGTCACTAGACCTCCTCTACGACCTTTGGCTGAAGTTAGTCACTAGCCCTTCTCTGGGACCTTTGGCTGAAGTTAGCCACTAGCCCTTCTCTAGGACCTTTGGGTGAAGTTAGTCACTAACCCTTCTCTGGGACCTTTGGCTGAAGTTAGTCACCAGCCTAACCCTTGCAAGAAAGATATGACTTACCTATGAACAAAATCTTCCTTCAGCTTCTCAGTTTTTATATTTAGATCTTCTTGCTCTGACTTGTTGGTTTTTGTATGCAATGTGTGGCTCTGTGCTGTTGTGCTTGATGGGCTTTGGTTCAATGTGTTGAGTGCACAGCGCAAGCCCATGTCTGTGGCCCCCCCACACAGATGTTTGCCCACAACCACAACAGGATCTCTCACAGCCTCAACTGAACCTGTTCAAAAGAAAATCTTCAGATGACCTTCATTATTCAAAGAAAAGCTTATGCAATTCTTCATTGTTTGGTGCACAATTTATATAACCTAACCAAAGTAATGGGGGGGGGGAGAAAAAGAGAAGGTGGGGGGAAAGAGGCATAAACCAAGTTCGTATCAGCAAAACTGTTGCTGAGCAGAAATAAAATAAAGCGGGAGTGATCTCCCCTAAACTTTCTCGAATATTCTTATATAACTTGGAATATAGACATGATTTTTAATTAGGCCCTACTTAAACTTTTAAAAATAATATAAAATCTCATAGAAAAAATAATTGCGCACCAAGCAAACGCCAAAACAAAATGTGCATAATAATGCGCAATATTATTAGTACTTTTTAAATTTACATGCGTTTTTTGAGAAAGCGGAAATAGCATAAATTAGTACTTCCGGTCAACGGAAATTACTCAAAATTTGACAGAAGGTAGAGAATTAGATCTTTTACTTACATGTGAATTTTCATTTATCTATCTGAAATAGTACTCAAGTTATAGGCTTTTGAAAAATTCAAAGTAGAAAAAGTATCACTTCCGGTTATCGGAAATCGCTCATAAGTTGATCAGGAACTACGATTTTGTTAAATACTTATATATGAAATTTCATCAACCTAGCTGTAACGGTACTCAAGTTATCGTGTTTACACATGAACAGACAGACACACAGACACGAACAGACAGACACACAGACAGACACACGGACAAGATAGCAAAATTATGTTTTTCCGTATCAGTGAGGTGTAAAACGTCGAGATTTCTAAAAATCTCGATTTTTTTCTAGCATGATTACAAACTTTCTCTATACTTCGTATATACGAGAAAGTAAAAAGGACATTCAAAACTTTGAGAGAATAGGCTTTAATTCTACAATGTTGGTAGATTTCTAGGCTGCAGAAAAGAAAACTAGCTAAACTAACCAACAGAAAGGTAATGCCATTTCTTTGTATCAGGGATTCTTCTTTTTTTCTTCTTTGCCTTTTTTAAGTTCCAAAATCTTTCTGTCTGTTGCCATTTTCTCAATTTCTTTCCGATAATTTCCATGTCTTTTAATTTCTTTATGCCAGGGGTTATTGGGTCTCATTTTTTCTTGATCCTTTTGGCTTCCATGTGACTTTTCCAGTATTACTAATAGCCAATTTTCTCATTGTTTTTAAATTTCTATTTTTTAAATTATATTTTTTATTCTAAGTCTAATTTGAAAGGTTTGTGTTGCGTTTGTTTCTGGCTTTGGGATAATAATGCTAAGTCATCTGTTAAGTTCAAATCTTCAAGCAGTTGAAAGTGTTCATTGAATTCCTAATGCTATGTCATCTGTTACGTTCAATAAATTTCACGTTTGAGTATGAATTGTGTGAGCAGTTTTCATTTAACACAGTACCTAATGCTGAATCATTCAGCAAATTTAAGAATTCATCTTGTAATTTATCGGGAATGCATGCAACATCAAGGGAAGCAGAGAAGGGGTAACGAGTCAATGCAGATTCTTCTTCTTTCAGCCCAGGAAAATAACGCCGCAGTTTGTTTTCAAGATATTCAAGATACCCAATTATCATGAAAAGAGATACTATTCGTTCATTTTCCCTGAAGCTTCAGGTTAGGCTTATGGTGACGTTTGAATATATTTGCTCGGTATGCTCCTCTCTCCAACCACTCTATGCTGTGAAAGTATATCAAAAGGTCTTGTTTCCCTTGCACTTCCAAGAACAGCTTGATTTCATCTTTCCTTTCAAAAACAGGATTCACATTTCCTTTTGACAACATACTGTAGTGTAGAAAAGCAGAGCCTCGTGATGTATATTCATGTCTTCACACAGTTATTTAAACAAACGGGTGTTTAGGCCTCCAGATTTATTACAAATTTACAACTTATTAGCAGTGGAGTCTGAAGAGTCTTGCCGGCGAGGGCACACAAGTGAATCATGCAGTGGATTCCCCTTGGTTAGGGAGCTAAATCTTTAAAAAAAATTCTGACTGAGAACAACTTTGCACAGTGCGAATTGTATCTTCTCTATTCCATTTCCATTATGATGTTAGTAAAGCCTAATATTTATGTTTTATTTTTCATTGCAAGGGTTTAGTCTATTAGAAAGCCCTTCGCGGCCAGTTTCGAAACCCATGTTCTAGCAGTTGAAAGAGTCTATATATATAATTCTCTTCATGGAGACCATGGAAAACACCATGCTGTTGAATTCACAAATTATGAATTGCTGGTAAGCAGAAAATAAAACAACTAGATGGCAGGGTCTACTACGTTGTGGGTAGCTCGTTCATTGAATTCCTAATTCTATGTCATCTTTTAAGTCCAAATCTTCTAGCAGTTGAAAGTGTTCATTGAATTCCATATGAAACAAAAGGCATGGCTGTTGTACCCTAAAGTAAATCCCTAATGACTCTGTTTTCTTTAGTGAATGCTGCTGTATCTACTATTGTCTGCTGCAATAGCTTCCCAATATTTCCTCTACATTATGCACAGGCTAGCCTTTTATTGAACAGATTGTTCTATTATCATTTAGAGAGAAGCAATTTTGTTAACACAGGATCTGGTTTGTAGCCTGTATATTCATCTAGTAGATCTGGTTTAAAGCCTGTATATTCATCTAGTAGACTGGTTTGTAGCCTGTATATTCATCTAGTAGATCTGGTTTGAAGCCTGTATATTCATCTAGTAGATCTGGTTTGAAGCCTGTATATTCTTCTAGTAGATATGGTTTGAAGCCTGTATATTCATCTAGTAGATCTGGTTTGTAGCCTGTATATTCATCTAGTAGATCTGGTTTGAAGCCTGTATATTCTTCTAGTAGATCTGGTTTGAAGCCTGTATATTCATCTAGTAGATCTGGTTTGTAGCCTGTATATTCTTCTAGTAGATATGGTTTGAAGCCTGTATATTCATCTAGTAGATCTGGTTTGTAGCCTGTATATTCATCTAGTAGATCTGGTTTGAAGCCTGTATATTCATCTAGTAGACTGGTTTGTAGCCTGTATATTCATCTAGTAGATCTGGTTTGTAGCCTGTATATTCATCTAGTAGACTGGTTTGTAGCCTGTATATTCATCTAGTAGATCTGGTTTGTAGCCTGTATATTCATCTAGTAGATCTGGTTTGTAGCCTGTATATTCATCTAGTAGATCTGGTTTGTAGCCTGTATATTCATCTAGTAGACTGGTTTGTAGCCTGTATATTCATCTAGTAGATCTGGTTTGTAGCCTGTATATTCATCTAGTAGACTGGTTTGTAGCCTGTATATTCATCTAGTAGATCTGGTTTGAAGCCTGTATATTCATCTAGTAGATCTGGTTTGTAGCCTGTATATTCATCTATTAGATCTGGTTTGTAGCCTGTATATTCATCTAGTAGATCTGGTTTGTAGCCTGTATATTCATCTATTAGATCTGGTTTGTAGCCTGTATATTCATCTAGTAGATCTGGTTTGTAGCCTGTATATTCATCTATTAGATCTGGTTTGTAGCCTGTATATTCATCTAGTAGATCTGGTTTGTAGCCTGTATATTCATCTAGTAGACTGGTTTGTAGCCTGTATATTCATCTAGTAGATCTGGTTTGTAGCCTGTATATTCATCTAGTAGACTGGTTTGTAGCCTGTATATTCATCTAGTAGATCTGGTTTGTAGCCTGTATATTCATCTAGTAGATATGGTTTGAAGCCTGTATATTCATCTAGTAGATCTGGTTTGTAGCCTGTATATTCATCTAGTAGATCTGGTTTGTAGCCTGTATATTCATCTAGTAGATCATGGTCTTTTAAAATGCTGTCCAAAAAACCTGGCAAACCTAAACAATTCTGATGATTTTGGATAAATCATACTATACCTAAATGTAAATTCTCTATGTCCGTTTTGATGCGGATGAATTTAGATTCTTCTCCTCCTAGCTTGTGAAAGGAATCCATCTGTAATGAACAAAAATTCATAACAAATACAGTTCAGCAGGTGGCTTATATAAATAAACACACAAACACACCTTAGTGATCAGGTGAGAAATGCTTATTTAAATGACAACAGTCATTAAGACCAGTTTGTCATAGTGTGCATGCAAGCAAAGCAGTATTAGTGGTGATCATACTTTTAGGGATCATTTCTAAAGGTGGTAAGTTTCTCGAAGGCTACTATTTTATTGTGTTTGAAATGCACAAGTCCTCAGCTCTATATACTAGAAATGGACTAAGCAACTACTACCAAAAAAAAAACAATGGGGTTGCGCCCATTCCTGGTTCCTCTAGGGCAGGGATCTCCAAACTACGGCCCACGGACCGGATGCAGCCCGCGAAGTCCTCTCATCCGGCCCGTGGAGATCTTTTAGTCCAAGGAAAAATCGTTTGTTAGTGATGGTTGAGAAACTTTGCCCAGAAAAATCAAAGACGTGCCTGGAAGAAATTGGCCCCCGAACTGAAATTTGATAGTTAATGCAGCCCTCGGACTGAAAAGTTTGGAGACCCCTGCTCTAGGGCAAGAGTCTTGGAAAGCAGCCACTTGGACTATGGTTCGCGTGGCTTAATGAAATCTTGGGCCCCACCCTTTACAGCTGCAGCCGTCAACAACATTAACTCTTGATCTACCCGAAAAAGAATGTCCAGACCTTTATTCATCTGTAACAGCCTCACCTACGATGCAAGTACTCATCACTTCAAGAGGTCAACCAAACATGTGAGGCCATATAATAAGACATCTCATCAGCATCATCAAATTTTTCTACTCAACTATGGCAGAGATACAGGGCAGGTGAAGTAGAGTTTACCTGTTTCTGTGTCCTCAGCATATGAAGGGATAGTGTGGTCAGAGCCATGCTCGGCCGGAAATTTTTTTTAAACGATAAAAACATGTCTGAGACTTTGCGGGACACTGGGCAGGTGAAGTAGAATTGGGTAGATTTAGAGTTTACCTGTGACGTCAGCATATGAAGGGATAGTGTGGTCTGGCCCATGCTCAGTCAAAATCAGTGTTTTTAAAAGACAAAAACATCTGAGGTGTGTCGTCTTTTTGAATGTGCGGTCTGGTTATTTTGTGATGATAAGTGACAGACGGGATGTCATTTATGGAGACCCCCAAAACCCACAGTTATCTAATGATAACGGGTAGTCTAGTATATATTTACATATACATATATACAATAGCTAGTTGAGCGAAATTTTTAAAGTAATTAAAATGACAAAATAACGATAGGGTTGTATCAAACGGACTAAATGCTACAAAATGATACCAATTTTATGTTTATAGGATAAACGGTTTGTTCTCTAGATATGACGGTTTTAGTGTAAAAAATGCGGGGACAACTAAGTCTATGGAGAATGAAAACAAAAATTGGTCCTGTCGAGAGTGTAGAAAAAAGACAACTCTGCGTAGGCGCACAATTATAAATTTTCAAATAAGTATTTTTTAATGCATTTACAACTGCATTGAGTATCTCTACCTAGATATTAATAAATTATTTAATTTAATTTAAAAGTGGTCTATAAAAAATTATTTTAATAAAGGTAGACCACTGGCTCGATTCAATCATTTAACTCAAACATCATAATCATAGTAAAAATAAAAAGAAACTGGCAGAGTAACCCTAACCCTAATTTCTAAGTAAACTGTATCATAGACAGATCAGTACAATGCAACATATATGAGTGTTTTTGAATTATTGGAAGCATGTCAGTTAAGAGATAATCTTTAGGTGTCGTTAGATAACTGAACATAGCTGGCGCGAAGCAAACAGCAACGTTATCAAGAATCAAGCATTTTACGCAGCTACAAAGACAGACGCAAGACTCGTGGGTTTCTGCCCAACTTTTGCCTGTAGTTTTAAAAATGATATCTGGCCATCTGGTTTTGAACGTGATGGACAGTTTGGTCGTGGGATGACCTTCGGTTTAGTAAGCATGCCTACTACACACTGGACCACACTATTCAGTTTAGTAAGCATGCCTACTACACACTGGACCACACTATTCAGTTTATTAACCATGCCTACTACACACTGGACCACACTATTCAGTTTAGTAAGCATGCCTACTACACACTGGACCACACTATTCAGTTTAGTAAGCATGCCTACTACACACTGGACCACACTATTCAGTTTAGTAAGCATGCCTACTACACACTGGACCACACTATTCAGTTTAGTAAGCATGCCTACTACACACTGGACCACACTATTCAGTTTAGTAAGCATGCCTACTACATACTGGACCACACTATTCAGTTGTAATAGCATTTTACAAAAGGTTGGGGATACAGGGTCTGGAGAAAACGTCTGGCAACAATGAAGATAAGCTATTGTGTGGGGGGGGGGGGGGTTGTTTGTAAAAAAGCATGACTATTTGTGGAAGATGAAGGCAGACTCAATCCAGTATCATGTTTAGAAAACAAGAGGTACCCCAGGACTACAAGCAAACTTATCAATTATACTTTACATACTTTCTTCTTCATTCTTAAATGTAGCTTTTGAAAAGATCAAACACACTAACTTAACAAAAGCAACTCAATTAGCACCAGAAAGCCCCCCCCCCCCCCTATGCAATCATTATCCGAGTGTGAGTGGGTATCAAGCAAATAAAAATAGAATAGGCCTTTGTTTACAAGGGTATGTTTTTATTCTTTAGCAAGATAAACTAATAGGATATGAAATAAATGATGACTATCAGTGTACAGCTTGTTACAACAGAATAAACACACTTGAAAAATGTGTTTTAAACTAATATTTCTTATATTAATAAGATATCGATCCCACATAGTCTACTTGGTGAATTTAATCAACCACTGTTCAATTTATAATTTTCACCTTTGGTTTATAATGTTTAAGACAGTTTCGATACATTTTATTTTACATTTTGAATAGCCCTAATGGCCTAATAATAGAATACAAATATCACTGAAACAATAGTGGAGTATTGATATCGCTTATACTTAGGCCTACAGGGTCTATTTTATTACTTGGGTTTTACAGCTTGTCAAAAGTCAAAACATTGGTGAAAATAACATTAAAAATGTACAGACTCACAATAAATTCAAATTAAGTCTGAATGTTTTCTTATTTTTATTGATATAAGTACCAACAGATATAGCGACAAAACAGTAGCGATATTGCTTTCCTCGATTTTTAGATTTATGCCCCTACTATAATGCGGTATGACAGAGCTAATTAAAAAATTAAAATGAAAACTGTATAGTCTTACTCTAATCAAAGCTAGTGTCATTATTTTTAGTTTTAAAACATTCTTTTTATAACTTAATTTCAACTTTGTGTTGAGTTATAGATAGTATACCTAATTCAATTATTAGTAGCATGTAGCCCATGCCACCTCATATTAGCTCAATTCACACTGTTTCTACTATTTTAAAAAGGTCAATTTATTATCATGAATATACCCATTTAGTAGGTTTATTATTAAAATTCTTTGAGAAAAAAAAAGTATTAATTATGATGACCTAATTCCTATAAAACGAAGGAACAGGAAAATGCGGTATCGATACCGCCAATACCTAGTTTGTGAGACATTTTGCATAGTCTGCTAAACTGATAAACCTAAAATAACTATGCTAGTCAGAAAGTTTAATAAATAACAAAAATAATCCCACAAAAAACAAAGTTAGTCTCAACCTTTTACTATTTTAAATAATTTTTTGAAAATTCACGTTTTTAAACCCATTATGAGATTCACAAAAACAAGCAAAAAGTTAAAATAAAAATTATACGGCAGTAACGGTCATCATATGCTGTTAATAGAGAGGGCATATATAACTGGAATCATAATCGCGTTCTATCTGTTTTTAAACGGTTAACATAGCAATGCGAAACACTAAATTCCAATTAGATTTTTTTGTTCAGAAAAGGTTTAGAGCCTGTGACATATTTTATTTACTTGTGCAACTAGCTAATATATAAATACACATATATATATATATATAAATACATATAAATATATACGTATATATACATATTTGGATAAAGAAATAAATAACTATAAAGCCTATATTTGAATATAAAAATAAATAAATAAATAAATATTGGTGAAAAAAGATAGGTGAAAATAACATGAAAAATTTACCGTCCCACTAAAATCATATTAAGTCTGAATGCTTTCTTATTTTCATTGACATAAATACCAAGAGAGAAAGCAACAAAACAATATTAATACAGCTTTCCTACAATAATGCATTAAAATTTTTGTAGTTAAAAATTCTGTTGGTAATGTTGGCATGTTATGTGGATAATGTCGTCTGACTTATTGTGTGCCTAATTTAGTCTTTAGAAGCACAAGCACAGGCCACATCATATTAGCTCAATTTACACAATTTTCACCATTATCAAAAGGGTCATCTATATATAACTAGCTGCATACCCGTGTACCAACTTGGGAACAGAACAAAACAAAGAAAAACACAAAACAAACACAACCACAACATTAGAATCACCACTGAACAACACACTTTTCTAGGCTTCCGCGCCCAAAGAGAGCCTTTCCAGCATAAAAAATTTAAGTCACATAAATAGATCCTACTCCATAACTTACAATAAAAGAATGCGATGCAAATAAATGTATGGCAAGTGGTGTTTACTTTTATGGTTCTAAGAAAACACCTTGGCAATGCAATTAGAATCACCACACAAAAAAACACGCTTTCCGAGGTGTCCGCGCCCAGAGAGAGCCTTTCCAGCATTCTCTATACTATAATTCTAAAATGTCACCATCTGTTAACACTGATAAACAAAAAATAGTGATTTTGAGAGATCATAGTCTAATTAGAAAATAATATAAATAATCTTAACATTTTTCTATTTTAATTATGAACCTTAACATCTAAAATATAAAGCTCAATTCTGTATGTAAAAATAAGTTTGTTTGTCGTTGACATACTTCTATGGATTTAAGTGTTAGACTATTATCGTGCTCATAGTCTAAATTTAAGAGTTAAAAAATTACTATTGAAAGTGTTGGGAAATAATTTTAATTTTACAAACTGATAGTGATAATTGTCGGCATGTTCATTAAACACAATTTTTAAAAAATGACAAAAATTCTAATTATGTCTGAAAATTATTTATATTTAGTCCTTTAGCACTTACTTCCCTTTGATAAATTAGGAAAACACAATTACTTCCCTTTATAAAACATTGCATTAGTGGAAAAGAATTTACTTTTTATTGCTTTGTTTTGGTGTTGGGAAAAAAATAATTACATAATTAGCGGGGATTGATCAAGTGCAAATGTTGTAGGTATTTTACGAATAAGCTTGGAGTATTATAATTGTTCATTTGGTTTGGTTTGGCACCTACGTTCGTTTAAGTGATTGCAAAAGACTATGAATAAGTTGGGGTACTATAGTCGATTATTAAGCTGACACAGGCGATTCTGCCCCGGGCTAGACTGTGAGCACTTTGCGTTTATGTTCGCGTTAGTGTTTTCTTTGTGTTTAGGTTGGATTTGCGTTAGTGGTTGCGTTTTGATTTGGTTCGTTTTTGTTCTTTCTTTTTTCGTTTTCCTTTGTGTTTTTTTCTTTGGGTTTGTGTTTGTATTTGTGTTTGTGGTTGGTTTTGCGTTTGGATTTGGTTTGTTTTTGTTTGCTTTTTTTGTTTTTTTTTCTTTGTGTTCATATGGTGTTTGTGGTTGTGGTTGGGTTTGTTGTTAGGTTTTTGTTTTCGTTTGTATTTGTAATTGTGTTAGCGTTATGTTTGCGTTTTGTTGTTTTGGTGGGTTGTGGTTTGGGTGGGCAATGCCGGGTTTATGATGATTACTAAACACCCAGGTAATGGTCTTTAACAAAAAGGTTTTTCACAGAAGCCAGAGCAGGGCCTGGCCGGGACGGCTAGTATAATAATAAATGCGGTAGTAATAAAAAAATAATTAACTTCAATTATTGATGAGTTAAATTTATTTTTAAATTACCTCCCTTGCAAAAATAAAAATTACAAAAAAAAAGTTGAATTAATTCGTATTTTTGACCTACTGTTATAAAAATGTACCCACTTTTTCTAGGAATATAAACGAAAATGATATTTGACATTGATCCTTTTAATATGTTTTAGCAATGTGCATGTATTTAATATTTTCTTTACGTTACGCAAAAGAGTAAAAACAGTGGCAACTATAAAATAACTTTATGTTGTTATATAAACAAACCCTACTCTATTACTTACAATAAGAAAATGTGATGCACTGAAAAGCACTGCATGGTGCAATGTTTACTTGTATAGTCCCAAAAGCTATAGTGATATAGACTAGCTGCATACCCGTACTTAGCCACTGTAAATCTTTTTTAAATGTACCAACTTGTGAACAGAAATTTAATTATTTGTTATACTATAGTGCTACACTTGCATATCCCCTTAAAGCAAATAAAGCAAAATGAATAAGCATCTGACTGCATCATTATCTTTCTATAAAGAGTGTGTATAAGTGTGTAAAAAAATTGGCGCAATTGTAATCTTTATGTTTTTTTAGAAGGGTTCTAAGAGAGACATAGTTGAATTAATGAGAATTCAATACATTAAAATAACAGCGCCAACCACCATAAAATAGACCTTACGACACATGAACAGCAATCTGAAAAAAAAATCGACCCACACCTAACTCACCGTCATTCTCCTAGCCCAGGGGTCGGCAACCTTTTGATACGCAAGAGCCAAAAGTTGCAATTTAAAATAAATAGCTTTAAATATGAAATAATATTTATTCATATAAAAACATAGACGGGTTTCGCCAGAATAGTAAAATTAGTAATCAAATAATAATATTATTCTAGGACTATCTCAATCCACTTTAGAAGCTGTTAATTTTTATTTTATTTTTTCTTTACGGATATCACCGACTCAGTAGGTGTCTCCCATTAGCCAGTCAGGCCTCAACACGGCAAACGCCGACTAACTGGCTTGGATATCAGTTTGAATAACTTGCATCGTACGCTTTTATCCTTTGGTTCTCATAAGGCTTATCTTCACTTCCATCCCACTGAATGCAGGGTAAAATCGTACCCCACCGTCTAGTAAAAATGAAATTATATAACTATTAATATTTGTGCAAGGAGCTGGAGAGCCACATCTGGACGTCAAAAGAGCCGCATGCAGCTCGCGAGCTGCAGGTTGCCGACCCGTCCTAGCCATATCAACCCGCAAGCACAACTCATACATCACTGTATTATCCAAACGGCTGCATCTATGTTTTTTATGCTGATATAGCAACCAAAACCGTAACTCATAAACCTCTCTAAAATTTAATTTTATATATCAAACAATATAACATTTTAAAAAACGGCGCAACACTCTAACTGATGTCTGCCGAGATTTCTCTTCTCCCCTTCCCCGTGGTGTAATGTAAACCGCCGACGTACATGTATTAAACCACATACATTTAATTTAACTTTAGCCATTCTGTAGGTTTTAATTATTTAATTATTTAGCGCAAGTTGGATTTATTTTTAAATTAACTCACTTGTCAAAATTAGAAAAAATAAAAGAGTTTAATTAATTAGATTTTTCTACCCTACTGTTATTATGTTATTAAAATGTATCCACTTTTTCTGAGAATCTAAACGAAAATGTTATTTGACATTGATCCTTTAAATATGTCTTAGCAGTGTGTGTGTATTTAATATTTTCTTGATGTTATGCGAAAGAATAAAAACAGTGGCAACTATAAGGGGGGAAGGGTATGGATTATCATCCTCATAATTTATTTACTAGCGCAACTAGCTGTGCTATATGTTACTAACCTTGTACCTCACACTTCCACGTTCGACAAGCACAAATGAATTGTCCACCACTTTTTTGGTTGCTTTCTGTATCCAGTGGGAGAGTTTACCTAAAGATAAAATACTTGATAAAACATACACAACTCAGAACACAAACCACACAGATTGCAAACACATTAGATAACACATTAGATAACCAAGAACACAACATACAACACAAGCACATGGGACACAGAAACTAGAACACAACATACAAGCACATGGGACACAGAAACTAAAACACAACATACAAGCACATGGGACACAGAAACTACAACACAACATACAAGCACATGGAACATAGAAGCTAAAACACAACATACAAGCACATGGGACACAGAAACTAAAACACAACATACAAGCACATGGGACACAGAAACTAAAACACAACATACAAGCACATGGGACATAGAAACTAAAACACAACATACAAGCACATGGGACACAGAAACTAAAACACAACATACAAGCACATGGGACATAGAAACTAGAACACAACATACAAGCACATGGGACACAGAAACTACAACTTAACATACAAGCACAACATGGGACACAGAAAAAACAACCTTTGCCAGCTCCAAGCTCTACAAAACAGGTGCTGCTACAGAGAAGACCCAACTGGTCAAGCTGACCAACCAAGGATGCCTGATAAAGATGAGATGTCTTCATTACAATTTTGCTTTATCATATTACCTGCACATACCTAACATAACCTAGTCAGATAATGTCATAACATGCCAACATTATCCACACAACATGCCAACATTACCCACATAACATGCCAACATTACCCACACAACATGCCAACATTACCCACACAACATGTCAACATTACCCACATAACATGCCAACTTTACCCACATAACATGCCAACTTTACCCACACAACATGTCAACATTACCCACACATTACCCACACACCATGCCAACATTACCCACACACTATGCCAACATTACCCACACAACATGCCAACTTTACCCACACAACATGTCAACATTACCCACATAACATGCCAACTTTACCCACACAACATGCCAACATTACCCACACACCATGCCAACATTACCCACACACCATGCCAACATTACCCACACACCATGCCAACATTACCCACACACCATGCCAACATTACCCACATAACATGCCAACATTACCCACACAACATGCCAACATTACCCACATAACATGTCAACATTACCCACACAACATGCCAACATTACCCACACAACATGCCAACATTACCCACATAACATGCCAACATTACCCACACAACATGCCAACATTACCCACACAACATGTCAACATTACCCACATAACATGTCAACATTACCCACACAACATGCCAACATTACCCACACAACATGCCAACATTACCCACATAACATGTCAACATTACCCACACACCATGCCAACATTATCCACATACCATGTCAACATTACCCACACAACATGCCAACATTACCCACATAACATGTCAACATTACCCACACACTATGCCAACATTACCCACATAACATGCCAACATTACCCACACAACATGTCAACATTACCCACACACCATGCCAACATTACCCACATATGTCAACATTACCCACATAACATGTCAACATTATCCACATATGTCAACATTACCCACACACTATGCCAACATTACCCACACATGACCCACATTATATGTCAACATGACCTACATATGTTAACATTACCCACATAACATGTCAACATTACCCACATAACATGTCAACATTACCCACACATTACCCACATAATATGTCAACATTACCCACATAACATGTCAACATTACCCACACATTACCCACACAACATGCCAACATTACCCACACACCATGCCAACATTACCCACATATGTCAACATTACCCACACACTATGCCAACATTACCCACACATGACCCACATTATATGTCAACATGACCTACATATGTCAACATTACCCACACACCATGCCAACATTACCCACATATGTCAACATTACCCACACACTATGCCAACATTACCCACACATGACCCACATTATATGTCAACATGACCTACATATGTCAACATTACCCACATAACATGTCAACATTACCCACATTACATGTCAACATTACCCACACAACATGCCAACATTACCCACATAATATGTCAACATTACCCACATAACATGCCAACATTACCCACACATGACCCACATTATATGTCAACATGACCTACATATGTCAACATTACCCACACACCATGCCAACATTACCCACACAACATGCCAACTTTATCCACATATGTCAACATTACCCACACAACATGTCAACATTACCCACATAACATGTCAACATTACCCACACATTACCCACATAACATGCCAACATTACCCACACACCATGCCAACATTACCCACATATGTCAACATTACCCACACAACATGTCAACATTACCCACATAACATGTCAACATTACCCACACATTACCCACACAACATGCCAACTTTACCCACACAACATGCCAACTTTACCCACACACCATGCCAACATTACCCACACACCATGCCAACATGACCCACATAACATGTCAACATTACCCACATATGTCAACATTACCCACACACTATGCCAACATGACCCACATAACATGCCAACATTATCCACATATGTCAACATTACCCACACAACATGCCAACATTACCCACACAACATGCCAACATTACCCACACAACATGCCAACATTACCCACATATGTCAACATTACCCACACAACATGCCAACATTACCCACACACTATGCCAACATTACCCACATAACATGTCAACATTACCCACACAACATGCCAACATTACCCACACACCATGCCAACATTACCCACATACCATGCCAACATTACCCACACACCATGCCAACATTACCCACATACCATGCCAACATTACCCACACACCATGCCAACATTACCCACATATGTCAACATTACCCACACAACATGTCAACATTACCCACATAACATGTCAACATTACCCACACATTACCCACATAACATGCCAACATTACCCACACACCATGCCAACATTACCCACATATGTCAACATTACCCACACAACATGTCAACATTACCCACATAACATGTCAACATTACCCACACATTACCCACACAACATGCCAACTTTACCCACACAACATGCCAACTTTACCCACACACCATGCCAACATTACCCACACACCATGCCAACATGACCCACATAACATGTCAACATTGCCCACATATGTCAACATTACCCACACACTATGCCAACATGACCCACATAACATGCCAACATTATCCACATATGTCAACATTACCCACATAACATGTCAACATTATCCACATATGTCAACATTACCCACATAACATGTCAACATTACCCACACACCATGCCAACATTACCCACACACTATGCTAACATGACCCACATAACATGTCAACATTACCCACACACCATGCCAACATTACCCACATATGTCAACATTACCCACACACTATGCCAACATGACCCACATAACATGTCAACATTACCCACACAACATGCCAACATTACCCACACAACATGCCAACATTACCCACACAACATGTCAACATTACCCACACATGACCCACATTATATGTCAACATGACCTACATATGCCAACATTACCCACACATGACCCACATTATATGTCAACATGACCTACATATGTCAACATTACCCACACAACATGCCAACATTACCCACATAACATGTCAACATTACCCACACAACATGCCAACATTACCCACACATGCCAACATTACCCACACACCATGCCAACATTACCCACATATGTCAACATTACCCACATAACATGTCAACATTACCCACACAACATGCCAACATTACCCACATAACATGCCAACATTACCCACACAACATGTCAACATTACCCACACAACATGCCAACATTACCCACACAACATGCCAACATTACCCACATAACATGCCAACATTACCCACACACCATGCCAACATTACCCACACACTATGCCAACATGACCCACATAACATGTCAACATTACCCACACAACATGCCAACATTACCCACATATGTCAACATTACCCACACACTATGCCAACATTACCCACATATGCCAACATTACCCACACAACATGTCAACATTACCCACACAACATGCCAACATTTCCCACACAACATGTCAACATTACCCACACACCATGCCAACATTACCCACACATGTCAACATTACCCACATAACATGTCAACATTACCCACACATGACCAACATTATATGTCAACATGACCTACATATGTCAACATTACCCACACAACATGCCAACATTACCCACATAACATGTCAACATGACCCACATAACATGCCAACATTACCCACATAACATGTCAACATTATCCACATAACATGTCAACATTACCCACACATTACCCACATAACATGTCAACATTACCCACATAACATGTCAACATTACCCACATAACATGTCAACATTACCCACACATTATGTCAACATTACCCACATAACATGTCAACATTACCCACATAACATGTCAACATTACCCACATAACATGTCAACATTACCCACATAACATGTCAACATTACCCACATAACATGTCAACATTACCCACACATTACCCACATAACATGTCAACATTACCCACATAACATGTCAACATTACCCACACATTACCCACATAACATGTCAACATTACCCACACATTACCCACATAACATGTCAACATTACCCACACATTACCCACATAACATGTCAACATTACCCACATAACATGTCAACATTACCCACATAACATGTCAACATTACCCACATAACATGTCAACATTACCCACATAACATGTCAACATTACCCACATAACATGTCAACATTACCCACATAACATGTCAACATTACCCACATATGCCAACATTACCCACACAACATGCCAACACGACCCACATAACATGTCAACATTACCCACATATGTCAACATTACCCACATAACATGCCAACATTACCCACAAAACATGTCAACATTACCCACATAAGATGCCAACACGACCCACACAACATGTCAACATTACCCACACATTACCCACATAACATGTCAACATTACCCACACAACATGCCAACATTACCCACACATGTCAACATTACCCACATAACATGTCAACATTACCCACATAACATGTCAACATTACCCACATAACATGTCAACATTACCCACATAACATGTCAACATTACCCACACACCATGCCAACATTACCCACATATGCCAACATTACCCACACACTATGCCAACATTACCCACACATTACCCACACAACATGTCAACATTACCCACATAACATGTCAACATTACCCACACAACATGTCAACATTACCCACATAACATGCCAACATTACCCACATAACATGTCAACATTACCCACATATGTCAACATTACCCACATAACATGTCAACATTACCCACACACCATGTCAACTTTACCCACACATGTCAACATTACCCACATATGCCAACATTACCCACACACCATGCCAACATTACCCACATACCATGCCAACATTACCCACATAACATGCCAACATTACCCACACACCATGCCAACATTACCCACATAACATGCCAACATTACCCACATAACATGTCAACATTACCCACACAACATGTCAACATTACCCACATAACATGCCAACATTACCCACATAACATGTCAACATTACCCACATATGTCAACATTACCCACATAACATGTCAACATTACCCACACACCATGTCAACTTTACCCACACATGTCAACATTACCCACATATGCCAACATTACCCACACACCATGCCAACATTACCCACATACCATGCCAACATTACCCACATAACATGCCAACATTACCCACACACTATGCCAACATTACCCACATAACATGCCAACATTACCCACACATGTCAACATTACCCACATATGCCAACATTACCCACACACCATGCCAACATTACCCACATACCATGCCAACATTACCCACATAACATGTCAACATTACCCACACAACATGCCAACATTACCCACACATGCCAACATTACCCACACACCATGCCAACATTACCCACATATGTCAACATTACCCACATAACATGTCAACATTACCCACACAACATGCCAACATTACCCACACAACATGCCAACTTTACCCACACAACATGTCAACATTACCCACATAACATGCCAACTTTACCCACACAACATGCCAACATTACCCACACAACATGCCAACTTTACCCACACAACATGTCAACATTACCCACATAACATGCCAACTTTACCCACACAACATGCCAACTTTACCCACACAACATGTCAACATTACCCACATAACATGCCAACTTTACCCACACAACATGCCAACTTTACCCACACAACATGCCAACTTTACCCACACAACATGTCAACATTACCCACATAACATGCCAACTTTACCCACACAACATGCCAACTTTACCCACACAACATGCCAACATTACCCACACAACATGCCAACATTACCCACATAACATGCCAACTTTACCCACACAACATGTCAACATTACCCACACAACATGTCAACATTACCCACACAACATGCCAACATTACCCACATAACATGCCAACATTACCCACACAACATGCCAACATTACCCACACAACATGTCAACATTACCCACATAACATGTCAACATTACCCACATAACATGCCAACATTACCCACACAACATGTCAACATTACCCACACAACATGTCAACATTGCCCACACACTATGCCAACATTACTAAATATTTCAACTAGATAAAATAGCAACCTGCTGGAGCAGTTCTTTGCCCAGTGCTTTGTGTTGAGCTAAAGTATTTTCTATGTCTTCATCTGATGGACCAAGTTCTTCACATACACATGGGTGCTTCAATATAGTTGTCTCAATAGCAGTTCCTACATGCACTAACATCAGATCAAAATAACCTATCACTATTGGTGATACTTAATCATATGAAGTGACAAAATGTCATATGAAGTGATGGGTTGTTATATGAAGTGATGGGATGTCATATGAAGTGACAAAATGTCATATGAAGTGACAAAATGTCATATGAAGTGACAAAATGTCATATGAAGTGACAAAATGTCATATGAAGTGACAAAATGTCATATGAAGTGACAAAATGTCATATGAAGTGATGGGTTGTTATATGAAGTGATGGAATGTCATATGAAAGGACAAAATGTCATATGAAGTGACAAAATGTCATATGAAGTGATGGGATGTCATATGAAGTGATGGGATGTCATATGAAGTGATAGGATGTCATATGAAGTGACAAAATGTCATATGAAGTGACAAAATGTCGTATGAAGTGATGGGATGTTATATGAAGTGATGGAATGTCATATGAAGTGATGGGATGTCATGTGAAGTGATGGAATGTCATATGAAGTGATGGATTGTCAAATGAAGTGATGGAATGTCATATGAAGTGATGGGTTGTTATTTGAAGTGATGGGATGTCATATGAAGTGACAAACTGTCATATGAAGTGACAAAATGTCGTATGAAGTGATGGGATGTTATATGAAGTGACAAAATATCATATGTATTGACAATGCCGAGACAAATTGTCTTCAGTCCAATAGAACTTCACCCTGATAACTTAGGGATCAGGCATAAGAAGCTCACCCTGATAATTAGGTCTGGTTTATTAATGACATCCACACACAGAAATCAGAATTTAAGACTTACTACTTATGCCCTGGATTTAGAATGTGTTGAACAGAATGCTGAAGGAAATATTTATAATCAGCACTTTGTTTTTTAAATAAAGAAATTTTTTCAATATTTTCAAGCTAAATTTTGGTTGTCTTTTTTCTGAAGTAACACAAAATAATACAATAATTGTAAGGCCACCTCTTCTTTCATCTCTCATTTACAGCACAGATACTAGAAACGTGTGTCTTTACAGCCATAGCTCATGACAGCTAGATATGTGAATGTGTCTTTACAGCCATAGCACATGACAGCTAGATATGTGAACGTGTCTTTACAGCCATAGCTCATGACAGCTAGATATTTTGGTATTTGGGTTAGGGTTAGCTAGATATTTGGGTAATGCAAAAAAAAAAAATTACCTTTATACAGCTCATTAACTTTGTCTATCAGCAAGAACAAGCTTTCAGGAGTCAAATCTTTGACACAAACCTACAACAGTACAATATTTGATTATTTATTGGCAAACAAATGACCCCAAAATGGCATAGATTAAAGACATAAATTTGGAAAGCAGATTGTCATTATGAAACCAGGTTTACTTTCTCTACTGTACTTGATGAGTTGTCATCCACTCCCTGATTTATCCCTTTCACATAGTAAGTCTGAAAAATTGCTAAAAGTATTAGATGCGTTACCATTTTTTTTGCAATCAGTCAACACATTTAAAAAAAATAATTCATAGATTAGTAAATATTCTATAACCCATCTAAACAATATTAACTCCTTATATTTAGCAAAAGAAAGTAAAAACTGAAGAATTAGCTAAATAAAAAAGTAGAATCAAACCTTTAAAATCAAAGCTTTTACTATTACGAGGTATTCTGACAAGCTTGGCATTTGTTTACAAAGTGTTATACAATGAATATTAATTTTTTTTAAAAAGTATACATCTAAATAAAAAGTACATAGCTGCAGGGTTAGCTTTAGAGGTCATCCATTTATGAGGTCCAAATGAGAATATGGTGGGTGTGGGGTTTCAGGAATAAAAAATCAACTTATGTGGTGGCGTGGGGGGGGGGGGGGTGTCAATGTGGACATCTACTATTAAACCACAAAATCCTTACATTTGATAATTTAAAAAATAAATTATTTAAAAAATGCATATAAAATGTAGATTATACATTAAATCTGCAGTTCTGGTGGTAAATGTATTAGTAATATAGCTGTATTCCACCCGCCAAAAAAAAAAAGTGATTTTTTTTACAAGCAGGAGGGGATGGGGCAGTGATTGCTGCAATTTTCTAAAACAATTCAAGTTCATTTTAACCATTGCAAACAATTGTAACTAAATCATAGTATGTCTACAACATTATTTTGTGTCAAAGCCTAAGATGATGATGAATTTTTTTCAAGTGAACAAAAAATCAAAATAACCATGTTACAATTAGCTATTTAAATGTGTGTAAATGTTTGGTCAGGTGTGTAGGGCCCACAGTCAGCGTGACCACAAAAAAGGGGAGAAGTTTGTTATGGAAAAAGCCTTTCAAGAGGCAGGGTATAGTGTCCCAGCGCAATCGCTCTTCTATTAAAGAACAATTTTAGAAAGTCTTAGAAAGTTCACATGGTAAGTTTACATGAAGTAGACTTAAGTATATCTTGGAAAAGTTTAACTCCCAATTATTATTTAGACCTAGTAATAGATGTTACCGAAAATATCAAATCCCTATATTACATTATCAGTTACTGTGGATGTGCACAGTGGTGGGGGTGGAAGGGGGAGGGGTGGTGTCTAAAATTCCAAAATTTTGTGGGCGTCATAAATAAATCACACCTTAGCTAAAAGAAAAGTAAAAAAAATTTAAAAAAAAAAATAACTAACCTCTTGCTGTGTTGCGGTTTGAATTTTTGCAACATTGCATTTTTTCAAATGTTTTTCCAAGTTATCTTCATAACAATTACTAGATAAAAATGGATAAGAAGGTAAAATAAGTTGAAATCTCTAAAGTAGTCACAGTAGCTACAATACAATACAAAATAAGTTGAAATCTCTAAAGTAGTCACAGTAGCTACAATACAATACAAAATAAGTTGAAATCTCTAAAGTAGTCACAGTAGCTACAATACAATACAAAATAAGTTGAAATCTCTAAAGTAGTCACAGTAGCTACAATACAATACAAAATAAGTTGAAATCTCTAAAGTAGTCACAGTAGCTACAATACAATACAAAATAAGTTGAAATCTCTAAAGTAGTCACAGTAGCTACAATACAATACAAAATAAGTTGAAATCTCTAAAGTAGTCACAGTAGCTACAATACAATACAAAATAAGTTGAAATCTCTAAGGTAGTCACAGTAGCTACAATACAATACAAAATAAGTTGAAATCTCTAAAGTAGTCACAGTAGCTACAATACAATACAAAATAAGTTGAAATCTCTAAAGTAGTCACAGTAGCTACAATACCATACAAAATAAGTTGAAATCTCTAAAGTAGTCACAGTAGCTACAATACAATACAAAATAAGTTGAAATCTCTAAGGTAGTCACAGTAGCTACAATACAATACAAAATAAGTTGAAATCTCTAAAGTAGTCACAGTAGCTACAATACAATACAAAATAAGTTGAAATCTCTAAAGTAGTCACAGTAGCTACAATACAATACAAAATAAGTTGAAATCTCTAAAGTAGTCACAGTAGCTACAATACAATACAAAATAAGTTGAAATCTCTAAAGTAGTCACAGTAGCTACAATACAATACAAAATAAGTTGAAATCTCTAAGGTAGTCACAGTAGCTACAATACAATACAAAATAAGTTGAAATCTCTAAAGTAGTCACAGTAGCTACAATACAATACAAAATAAGTTGAAATCTCTAAGGTAGTCACAGTAGCTACAATACAATACAAAATAAGTTGAAATCTCTAATGTAGTCACAGTAGCTACAATACAATACAAAATAAGTTGAAATCTCTAAGGTAGTCACAGTAGCTACAATACAATACAAAATAAGTTGAAATCTCTAATGTAGTCACAGTAGCTACAATACAATACAAAATAAGTTGAAATCTCTAAAGTAGTCACAGTAGCTACAATACAATCAGGTGCTCCTCTTGTTTTTTGAACAAGGTAGAGAAATAAATGTCCATCAATCTCAACACAACTTCTAAGATAATCAGGGTTTGTATTACCTAAGATAATCAGGGTTTGTATTACCTAAGATAATCAGGGTTTGTATTACCTAAGATAATCAGGGTTTGTATTACCTAAGATAATCAGGGTTTGTATTACCTAAGATAATCAGGGTTTGTATTACCTTTTTAGAAAAAAAGCCAGACTTTTTCCAGAATTTGGAAAAAATCCAGCAGGATTTTTTTTCCTAACAAAACACTTGATGGAAGTAGAAACATCATGCCCTATGTGTAAATGATGAAGCAGAAACATCATGCCCTATATGTGTAAATGATGAAGCAGAAACATCATGCCCTATATGTGTAAATGATGAAGCAGAAACATCATGCCCTATATGTGTAAATGATGAAGCAGAAACATCATGCCCTATATGTGTAAATGATGAAGCAGAAACATCATGCCCTATATGTGTAAATGATGAAGCAGAAACATCATGCCCTATAAGTGTAAATGATGAAGCAGAAACATCATGCCCTATAAGTGTAAATGATGAAGCAGAAACATCATGCCCTATATGTGTAAATGATGTAAACCAGTATGTTTCACTCTACACAAGATTACTGCTACCGTTGCAAGCAGAGACAAGACCTAACTGTTAAAAATCATAGGATCTCTCAGTGAGTGAGAAACGCCTTGCTGAGTTTCTTCCACATGGAGATAATTTTCTCATTCAAACAAAAACATAATACATTTTTTTTTTTAAGACACCAGTTTAGAAATGTGTGGCTTCTCAATATCACCAAGCGTTATGTTGTATTTTCCATCAGCATGTAGCTTAAGGAAGTGTTCTGTTAGCTGGTACTAAGACTAGAAAAGATGCAGTTAGGAAGATGATTTCCATCAAGTTCTGTGATACATGTGAATCCATATTGTACATATTTATCCAACACCTTTTTGAGCTCAAAACAGTATGAAGGGTTTAAAATAAATCACACAATGTACCATCATGACAGCCACAAGTCAAACACATGAAAATAAAAACTATATTCATTACAGCACATATATAAACGATTAATGTGCGCCTGTATGTGTGTGTGTGATGATACAGAAATATCAAGATACAAATTCATTGTTATCCGGCTCTGGGGCACTATTTATAATATGTTGTGCTATTGCACTGTCGTATTTGAACTGTCATTAACTGTGGTCACTAGTTCTATTGTCAGCATTGACCAAGTCGTAACTGTGGTCACTAGTTCTATTGTCAGCATTGACCAAGTCCCATCGCAGACCATCAGTCGGGTATGTGTCTTGAACTCTCCCAAGTCCTGGTAAAGAACCACTGGTCTAGTCCTGGTAAAGAACCACTGGTCTAGTCCTGGTAAAGAACCACTGGTCAAGTCCTGGTAAAGAACCACTGGTCAAGTCCTGGTAAAGAACCACTGGTCTAGTCCTGGTAAAGAACCACTGGTCTAGTCCTGGTAAAGAACCACTGGTCAAGTCCTGGTAAAGAACCACTGGTCAAGTCCTGGTAAAGAACCACTGGTCTAGTCCTGGTAAAGAACCACTGGTCTAGTCCTGGTAAAGAACCACTGGTCTAGTCCTGGTAAAGAACCACTGGTCTAGTCCTGGTAAAGAACCACTGGTCTAGTCCTGGTAAAGAACCACTGGTCAAGTCCTGGTAAAGAACCACTGGTCTAGTCCTGGTAAAGAACCACTGGTCTAGTCCTGGTAAAGAACCACTGGTCTAGTCCTGGTAAAGAACCACTGGTCTAGTCCTGGTAAAGAACCACTGGTCTAGTCCTGGTAAAGAACCACTGGTCTAGTCCTGGTAAAGAACCACTGGTCTAGTCCTGGTAAAGAACCACTGGTCTAGTCCTGGTAAAGAACCACTGGTCAAGTCCTGGTAAAGAACCACTGGTCTAGTCCTGGTAAAGAACCACTGGTCTAGTCCTGGTAAAGAACCACTGGTCTAGTCCTGGTAAAGAACCACTGGTCTAGTCCTGGTAAAGAACCACTGGTCTAGTCCTGGTAAAGAACCACTGGTCTAGTCCTGGTAAAGAACCACTGGTCAAGTCCTGGTAAAGAACCACTGGTCTAGTCCTGGTAAAGAACCACTGGTCTAGTCCTGGTAAAGAACCACTGGTCTAGTCCTGGTAAAGAACCACTGGTCTAGTCCTGGTAAAGAACCACTGGTCAAGTCCTGGTAAAGAACCACTGGTCAAGTCCTGGTAAAGAACCACTGGTCTAGTCCTGGTAAAGAACCACTGGTCTAGTCCTGGTAAAGAACCACTGGTCTAGTCCTGGTAAAGAACCACTGGTCTAGTCCTGGTAAAGAACCACTGGTCAAGTCCTGGTAAAGAACCACTGGTCTAGTCCTGGTAAAGAACCACTGGTCTAGTCCTGGTAAAGAACCACTGGTCTAGTCCTGGTAAAGAACCACTGGTCTAGTCCTGGTAAAGAACCACTGGTCTAGTCCTGGTAAAGAACCACTGGTCTAGTCCTGGTAAAGAACCACTGGTCTAGTCCTGGTAAAGAACCACTGGTCTAGTCCTGGTAAAGAACCACTGGTCAAGTCCTGGTAAAGAACCACTGGTCTAGTCCTGGTAAAGAACCACTGGTCTAGTCCTGGTAAAGAACCACTGGTCTAGTCCTGGTAAAGAACCACTGGTCTAGTCCTGGTAAAGAACCACTGGTCTAGTCCTGGTAAAGAACCACTGGTCTAGTCCTGGTAAAGAACCACTGGTCTAGTCCTGGTAAAGAACCACTGGTCAAGTCCTGGTAAAGAACCACTGGTCTAGTCCTGGTAAAGAACCACTGGTCTAGTCCTGGTAAAGAACCACTGGTCTAGTCCTGGTAAAGAACCACTGGTCTAGTCCTGGTAAAGAACCACTGGTCAAGTCCTGGTAAAGAACCACTGGTCTAGTCCTGGTAAAGAACCACTGGTCTAGTCCTGGTAAAGAACCACTGGTCTAGTCCTGGTAAAGAACCACTGGTCTAGTCCTGGTAAAGAACCACAGGTCTAGTCCTGGTAAAGAACCACAGGTCTAGTCCTGGTAAAGAACCACTGGTCTAGACTATCATTTCATTTGGGACAACAAAATGCTAACCATCAAGACAAAAAATGTGAGCAACTTGGATACAAGATGTATGTAAACGTGACCTCAATGCTCTAGAGATGACCATGGAGAAAACTGCCAAGGACACTAAAAAGGTAAAGAAAGCATAAGCCTGCTTTCCTTGACAAAAAATAAAATGAAAATACCTGAAGATTCACAGCTCCACCAAGACTGATCTAAACTAATAATATAGTCTTACAAGATTAGAGAGCCCAAAAGAATGAGTATATCTATATTCCACTGAAACTCAACTTTGTTTACAAATTTTTTTTTTTTTTTCTGTTTCTCTGTTCCACTAGATTAGAGCATCTGCACTATGTGCTGAACTGTAAAATACATCTTTATGTAGAGAAAATGTTTTTTCCCCCATTATGTTATAGAAGTTAGGGGTCATCCATTTATGATGTCCACACGGAGGGAGGACTTTTGTGGACGGATGGGGTTGGGGGGAGAGGTGTTGCGTCTATGCTGACTTACACATGTTACATTTAACATTGATGTGCTTATATTCTAAAAAACCCAGAGTGATCTCCCCTAAACTTTCTCGACTATTCTTTCATAACACAATAGGGGATGGCAACTCGGGATATAGACATGATTTTAAATCCATTTTTAAATCCAATTACTTCAACTTTTTAAAATGGTATAGAATCTTGTAGAAAAAAAGAATTGTGCACCAAGTGATTGGCAAACAATATGTG